TTCCTGTTCTTTAGAAGGATGTCTTCTTGCTCTTCATGAGCTTTGCAAGTCATCTCGTAGGTCATTAATGACCCGATTAGTTCTTCAAGAGGGAAGTTGTTTAGATCTTTCGCCTCTTGAATAGCAGTGACTTTAGGATCCCAACTCTTAGGAAGGGATCTTAGAATCTTATTTACGAGCTCAAAATCCGAAAAACTTTTTTCGAGTCCTTTTAGACCGTTGACGACATCCGTGAAATGGGTAAACATGTCGCTAATAGTCTCACTCGGTTTCATCCGGAAAAGTTCGAAAGAATGTAACAAAAGATTGATTTTTGACTCTTTCACTCTACTTGTGCCTTCGTGAGTCACTTCGAGTGTGTGCCAAATATCAAATGCGGTTTCACAAACCGAAACACTGTTGAACTCATTTTTATCAAGCGCACAAAATAAGGCATTCATAGCCTTTGCATTAAGAGCGAAAGCCTTATTCTCCAATTCATTCCAATCGATCATTGAAAGAGAAGACTTCGAAAATTCATTTTCGACAAGATTCCAAAGTTCAAAATCCATAGAAATAAGAAAGATCCTCATTCGGGTCTTCCAATAGGTGTAGTTCGTCCCATTGAACATGGGTGGACGTGTAATAGAGTGGCCCTCTTGGTTTCCGGCGTATGCCATCTCTCTTGGGTTTTAATCCGTTTGAGAGTTAACCTCGCTCTTGATCTTGTTCTGTGATTTTTAGAGCTCAAAATTGTTGTAAAGGCCAAAAGTTCTTCTCCCTCTTTTCTTCCAAGTTCTGAGATGTAAAGAGAGGAGAAAAAATTCTGTAAGGGTTGTCTCCTAAGCCCGTCAAAAGGAGTGAAACTGTAAAAGGGTGGTTGGCCTTCGCCTATTGAAGGAAGGCCTCTAGTTGACGTCGGTGACCTCGTCGGTGGAGGAAGCCAAAAGTGGAGTAGGTCAAGATTGACCGAATCACTCTAAATCTCGGTTTGCATTTACTTTGAGCATATTATCTTTACTGTAAACCTCCTCTAAAGCTTACTGCTTTCTGCGCATATACGATCGGGTTTCAAGCTTTGCACTTTCCGAATCAGCGTTTAGACGTAAATCTGTTTTTTCGTACGATCATCATATTTCAGTTTGCGTTTACGTTTTGATTTCTATCTTAACTGCAAACTGCCTTTATATCCTTGCTTAAGCTGCATCTCGTCTAATCAAGTGATTTACGAATCAGCATTTAGACGTGAATCAGTTTCTTCGTATGAACGTCGTATTTCAGTTTGCGCTTATATTATGGTTTTCATCATAACTGCAAACTGCCTTCATAGATTGACTTTAACGTCATCTCGCTTGATCTTAAGTTAAAGTAATCTTAGAATCGGCTTTCACACCGAAATCGTTTTTATCGTTCGAACGTTTTTTTATCATCGAAAGATTTCCGCTGCACTAATTCACCCCCCCCCCTTTAGTGCTCTTGATCCTAACAATAGTTGCTACATAAATCTTGATTCATGATTCATTTGCTTGTGCCATTCTTCATCCTTGTTTTTGTTTGTTTTCGGCATTGGCTTGATGCCCTTCATATATCGGTATAGCCTCGATCTGTGCAAAGAAAAGTGTGATAGTGTCTTCCTTGTCTTCTTAGATATACTGACATCTTGAATTATCCAGATGACTTACGGATGGCTGTCAAAGAAGTCATCTGTGACGGTGAAACTGAGCGACCTCAGTATGAGGAAGCACTAATAGCAATCACCGTGGATGAGTCTTTGAAACGGTGAGTTGATGTGTGTATGGATTTGTTATTGTCAATGTTAAGAAATTCATTGTTTATTCTCAACATTGTTATTGCAGATACTGCCAGCGCATTGAACGATCTGATTTTTGGGGAGGCGAGTCAGAATTGTTGGTAAAGCTTTTGGCATGCTTTAAATTGTTAGTTTAACATGAATATGAGCACATAGGCACACAACCATATATGTTTATAAGCATATTTAATCCATGTTGTATAGGAAGTTATGTCAATCTAAACACTTAATTCCAGAATATTTGTTGACATTATTTATGTAAATATACTCTACTAGTTCGAGAACCTGTTGATGATAAATGGTTTTTGTTAAACGAGTCAAGATTATACCAATTGATATCCATTTTGAAGCAGCATTGCTCCCATGAAATTGTACTTTTTCTTTTGCTTGTAGCTCTTCTTGTTTATTTGTCATTTTGACTAAAATATTATTTTCTTTCTACGTCGTAAAGATTATAACATTTCATTGATGTAAGAATCAGATCGACTTTTGGTTGGTGTGCAATGATATAGTTAAAACATAGCACTTTGAATGTTTTAAACTGCACCTAACAGTGAGATCCACTTCAGGTGTTGTCAAAATTGTGCCAGCAGCCGATCATCGTCTACATACCTGAACATGAAGTAAGTTTATTAATTGGTTTTAGATTTACTATTTGGTAAACTTTCATAGCATGTTGGATATACAAATGGCAAGCTTTCTCTTTTTGCTGATAATGTGGCTGTTCTGCAAAATCATACCACTGAAGAATGTTGTTTATCAACAGCATACCCATGGCACATGGGGCAACGGATTTATTCCTATAACGCAGTACGGATCAGAGTTTGGCAAGAAGTTGAGAAACGGAAAGCAGAGGGCTCCCGTCAGATTGTTATTCAGTGGTAGGAATCACTATGATTTATTGGTTTGACAGTGCAGAATTTACTCTTCTTTTCTGGAAACATGCAATGCATTAAGTTATTTCTTTTTGTTGTTGATCGAGTTGTACTGGAGAATTGTCACTCTATTGGGAGGTTATTCTTCCAACTGCTTCAGTGTTGACATTTACTGGAGTAAGTAGTATGGGCCAGTCAGCCCCAAAATAATCTGATCAAATCCCTGTCGGTAATGTGAAACGAGCATGATGAATCCGATATTACCAGCGTATATATTTATAAATACATGAGAAGAATGGTTTTGTAATCATTCTTATATTTGGCAGCAATGTGAAAAGAACGGTTTTACCTGTGGCAGTTTCTCGTTGGAGGAGAACCTTAATTCCTTACTATTCCATACCTGCCCTCACCTTTACTTACAGTAGTACACAAATTTCCAATTTGTTAATTTAACTATTTAAATAATTATTTTACAACATTTTCGTTTGATTTTTGTTTCAAATATGAAAATATAAATAGTTAACATTGAAGCATTCCAAAAGAAGCAACGCATTTCTTTATAGAATAATTTATCTAGAAAAGGTCATACTAATTTTTTTTATCGGATAATTACCCTCTGTAGTAGAAGAGATTGGCAGAGCATCCATCTGCAATAATAGAGAGGAAAGAAATAAGGGGAGAAACAGCGATCCAAGATGGAGAAGATCGAATCGGACCGGTCGGCGGTCCGATCCTCTATAT